AATACATATGGCATCTATTCCTTCTATAACTATAAGAAATCATATATATTAAAAAGAAATAATATATGTAAAAAATAGTTATATAAAGAAAATACAAATATATTTTCAGCTAAAAATAAGGATATGAAAAAAGACACCACAGCATTGCTCTGAGGACAAGTGGGGTGAAATTTTGTTTTTCCCCCCCGGACAGGATTTCCCCYGGGAGCTGCYGTGGCCCCATCCCTCCCTCCCTCCCTCCAGAGATCCCAGTGCTGGGGGGAAGCTGCTTCCAAAGCAGCACATAAACCTCCCACCAGCACCCGAGAGGAAACTGCTTGGCCACAAGTCATAAAGCAAACAAATAAAAAAAATTATGAATCAAAATTAGGGTTTTGCAAGATTAGTAGGATGTGAGCTAATTAAAAGTGCCTGAGTGTGTCTGACGGACGCAGGCAGAAAAAGGCTGAGATTTAATTAAGAGAAAAATGAAAAGGAAACCCCAGGACTAGGGGAAAAATTAAGGCTTTCAGTGATAATCAAATAAAACCAAGTGAGCAAAYATTAAATCTGAAGAGAAATAACAAATTCATCAGCATTAAAGAGTAAAGCCAGTAAACAGCAGATTTGGATCAAGAAAGCCAGGAATATCACTTAAAATGTTAATGAGTGGCAGGCCATCTATATGAACCTGTAGCTTTAAACCTCACCTGGTTATATCTCAGAAACTAAAATCAAAGCTTTATTTTAATAGCAGATGAAGTAATTGTGGCAATTAGAAGGCACCAGCAGCAGTCCAGGAGCAAGGCAGGTACAGGGAATGTAACAAAACCAAGCTCAGCAATGCTGTGTTGAGGGGGATTAAATTAAATATCTACTTTTATTTGTCACAACCTTCACTTAATTTCTATTTATTAATTGTCTTCATTGTTTGGTTGGTTTTTGCCCTGCAGGAATACCTGTATGTATTCCAGAATAAATTTATATATTCCTTATATTTGTATTTTTTAAAAGAGAATAATTTCCAATCGATCTGGTCCCCGTTGGAACCTCTCAGGAATACGGATGTGCTGCTCCTGCCCTTTCCAAGCTGGCCTGGATGCAGGAGCTGAGTCCTTTGGCAGAGAGGTTTTGTTTCAGTGGAAACAACAGCACAACAACAGCACAAACCCTCCTGGGATGCTCTTGCTCCTCTCCCACTTTCTGGCTGCCCTTATGTGACTCTGAGTGTCCACAGCCTGCCTAAAATCAGGGAAGAGAGGCCTGGGAATCAGGCTGGGATATTTTCTACCATCCAGTGCACTTTACCTCCTCTGGGTACTGAAAACCCCCTGAGAAGAGAAGGATCCCGGGCTCCTGAGCTGCCTGGAGCCACCAACCCAAAGCCCTTCCCTAAAGCTGACCCTCCTCGTGGTCAGTCCTCCAGCCAATGCCCAAAAGGCTTYCCCATGTCCTCCCTGCAGCAGCTCCAACCCCCTGAGCATCCTTCACCTGCCCACAGCTCCATAAGGACCATCTCAMAGGCACCTTCCACCCTCTGTGTACTTCCAACCTCTAAAGAAAGTGGAATTGTGTTCATGAGGATTTATCACTGTGGAGAGACACACTTGCTATTTTCCCATATTGCCCTGAACCAGTTTTCTAAAGGAATAGAGGTGTTCTGTTCCCCTTTCCAGTAGAGGGGATTTTTGTGCATTTTGTASAGCCGAGACCATCCAGAATATCTGTTAGCACAAAATAACCTGCAGTGATGGAGTTATTCTGTTTTTCACCTGGAAAACACAGCCAGGTATTTCCCAGGCATCATCCACAGGGGATGGGCAGGGGATGTGCCATCCTTGCTGGCACTTACAAGATTATTTTCACCTCTGCAGCTGCCCTGGTACTCCCGTGGCACAGAGAGCAAAGTGCTGGCCCTGCCAGAATCCCCCACGCTCATAATCACTCAGCAGCCCCACGTAAATCAGAGGCTCTATCAGGCTGATTATCTCTGCATGTAATGCTTTGAAAATACATAAATTCAGATTTCACTCTAAGCATAGGTGGCTTACAATGCTTTCTTTGGGATCAGATAGACCTCACTGTAGCTAAACATTACAGTGGCTGCTGATTTCTTAATCCATTCTCAACATGAAGGTTGCTCAGTTGTTAAGCCTGGTGTGAAAGAAGCCTTTCATGGATGAAAAATCCCCCCGGAGCAAAATATACAGCCCACGTTTTCAGGCTGTGGTGTGTGAGCTGGGCACGGGCTTACCTGCCACAAAACCTGCTCAACCAGAGGGGTTTGAGGCAGATTACACAGCTCTGAATTTGTTCTTCCATAAAACCCGCTTGGTTTTACGTGTCTGCATTGACAAATGCCTCCCATGCCTCTGAGTGTAACTAATAATTTCCCACAACAGATAACGGGCTGGGGGAAGCAGCAGGAGTGGGGTTTGTGAGGCTGGAGAAGAAGGGCTGGGTGTCAGGGAGAGAGGCTTTCCCACATCCTCAGTACGGGAAATAATCTCCAATCTAATTCCATGATTGCAGCAAAGGCTTCAACTCCACGCCATATTCATTAAGATGTTTATCTCCCTTATTTTAAGCCTCAAATGTGCCTCCATTTCTTCTGGGGCTGTTGACCCTGATATTAAGCAGATATTACAGTGCACAGAGTCAGGGCATGGATTCACTTCTTGATGAAATAATGAGGAATTTCTGCTGCCTGTTTTTCAGGTGAGATTCCAGAGGAGCTGAGCCTCATGTAGGGATGGGGACACTGCAGTGGCCCAGGGTGCCAGGGTGGGTGACCCAGCACAGCTCTGCCTGGGCAGCTGCCCACACACCAAAAAATGCCCCAGCCAAGGCTGCAGAAACCCTCACTGCACGCGGTTTTGAGGTTTGGAGGAAATCAAAGACAAAAGGAAACGCGGGCAGGCTCCGCTGGCGCACGGGAAGGCAAACAAACCCTGYGGCTTTGCTGCCTTGTTTTTCTTAGGGAGCTTTAAGAAAGTGTTTGCAGTCGMTGGGAACAAATTCCTAGAAATGAGAAGCTGTTATTATTCCTAACGTAATGCCTTCGTGGGACAGGCCCTGCCCRGCCCAGGGACATCATCCCAAATGGGCTCATTCCCCTCTCCAAGTGCAGAGCCCAGCTCTCCTCATGAGCACCACAAAAAGTGGGCACCACATCTCCAAAAATAATTAATTTAGAAGCCTAACAAGGAGCTGTTTGAAAAGGGGTCAATCCCATTTAGCCACGCAGGTTGTCAGTGAATTGAACAGCAAACCAGGCACTTAAAATAGATTATTTCAGGCATTTCCCTGTTAATGTGAGAGGGAAGGTGCTGGGCTGTGGTGCAAGGCTGGCATGGACCGAGGGCACTGAGCAGGACTCATCTGCATCCCCTGCATCGTGGATATCACCCCAAAACCCAAACCAGAGCCCCCAGTCTCACTAGGGAAACTTTGTGGGAAGACAAGCAGGCTGTTCATTGGAAAGGCGAGGCAGATTGGTGGTGTTTTAAAATCTTCCCCGTTAAAATGCAGCGTTAAAATCTCAGTTTAAAAATGACAAAGTCAGGAAAAGCAAACGTTTAAAGTTGCAAAACCAACACGGCACATCCTGTTTGTTTTACAGCCACATCGCACATCCTGTATGTTTTATGGTTTRCATTTTACAGCATAAACAGTCGTATATTAAGCTGCAGACTTAACCAGGAGAAAAACACTGAGGGAAAAAGTGCCACGTGCAAAGCCAGCGGGTCGGGATGGCACCAAAACGGTGGCAGAGGTGGCTTTGTGTCACTTTTACTGGYCAAGCCCTAACGCAGTTGATCCATTTAATTTCCGTGGTGCTTCCCCCCTTGAAGGGGAGCAGAGATGGGCTGTGATTAATACCAGCAGCGTTAAACGGAGCCTTTGAAGTTGCCACATGTTTCAGTGGGGTCAGTAGGTTGGGGAGGGGGTCAGGGCCGGCGCGGGCTGGGTTATCACCGGGTCCCTGCCAGAGCCCGGCTCAGCCGTGGCACCGGCGACGCGCGGCACTGACGAGCGGCTTTTGGAGGCTCCAAATTTGTAAAAAATCAGGAACACCGGCAAAAATTCGGGATTTTTAGCAGCGTTTCAAACTGATGGGATCATCCTGCCTCTGGAAKCAAGCCCCTAAAGCTCCAGCTGATTTAGCTGTGTCAGAATTGCGCTTTCTGGATGGTTTTRGGAGGCATTGGGACGTTGATTCCAAGTGAAAACCTGCTCTTTAGAGACTCCATGTGCATTCATTTTGAGCAAGACAGATACACCCCTTCCCACTCTGCATCCTTCTGACAGCCTCCCTTGCCCCCAAACTGCTGCTGCTTAAAACACCATCAGGTTAATAATACAAATTAGATTCTCTTACCTGTAGTACAAGGAAGAGCTGACAGCACTAAGCTTAGAAGGATTTTAAACTCCCTCTTCCCTTCCTCCCACCAAGGATGGTTTATTTTTACGTGGCTTTCAGTTCAAACTGTGCAAACCAGACAGGTCTGTGTTTTTATACGGAGTATCTGAGCACTCACTCTCCTGGCAGACTGGAAGGGCCCTTGGTCTGAGTTATTAAAGGCACTGGGGGTGATAACTGTGTGCTTCCCACCTCTGCATTCCCAACACACATGAATCAAGATTTTCCAAATAAAATACTTCATCTTTTATAGTCTTGCCAAAGTCAGCTTGGAAAATCAGGAGTTTTTGCAACCTGTTTCTGTGAGCTGCATGTGCCACGTGCTGGGCTCAAAATCCTGCAGCGCTGCCTGGAAAGGTCCCGAACATAAAGGAGAAAGGTGACATCCAGCAGGACACAACTAAACCAGTCATGGCTGCATTTCCAAGAGCAGGGGAAGYACACAGACCCCTCCCTTGGCATTAAACACCCCCCACAGCACAAAATGATGTTGTTCCTCATTATTAAATTAACTGTGATGTCCTACCCAGCACCTCAGACACAAACTCGGCATTGCAGGCCCACTCTGCCCAAACCCCGTGCAGAATGTGTCTCTTACGTGTCCAAARGGATCCAGGTGGTTGTTGGTRAGTTTGAGCTTCTGGAAGGACACCAGCTGCCTCATCCAGTGGGCTCCTGTGGCCGGGGAGTCRGGGTGCACGTACAGCCTGCCCGGCATGGCCGGCTCAGCCTTYCCAGCCACCATCCTGCAAACACAGAGGGACAATTGCATCACCTCAGCAGCGGGCACAGCCCCAACATGGGAGAGCTTTTTGTCCTTGGACTCATCCCAGCCACCCTCCTGCCACCCCTGGACTCCTCCCAGCCACCCTCCAGCCACCTCTGGGACATGGGAACTCGGGGAGGTTCCTGMTGCTCATGGGGGTTTTTGGGATCCCTGTTTGATCATCACAGGCTGGCAGTGTAACCCCATCCTTGCTCCCACATGGAATTTATTAGGGCCACATTGTCACAATTGTTGCCACATTGGTCAAGGAGGAAAGCTCCTGTGGGTTTTTGGAAGCTTTCAAAGCCCTTTCTGCAAAGGGAAATGGCCCCTTACAGTTCCACAGCAGAAAGTACCTGTGGTACCCGCGTGGCTGTGCCCTTCACAGCCAGGCAGGGCTCCCACAGCCTTTCCCAGTGGGAAGGGGCTTCTCTCCACTCCAGAGCTGCTCCCAGAGCCCTTCCCAAGCATTTCCCCTTGCCCCACACCACCAGCAGTTCTCATGGACACAAGGCCCAGCCACGAGACAACATCTCATGGCAACGCCCTCATTACTCCACATTGTTCTCCTCTTATAAAACCCCAATAAATGCAATATTACCAAAAACAACAGAAACTTTCCAGCAGCAATAAAAGGAAAAGGGGAAACAGCTCTAGGGCTGGCAAAAMTGAAATTAAACAGAGTTAATAACTATCCATCATCTCGGGTTTAATGTYTGAAACACACACAGTGGCCACCGTGGTGCAGAGACCCTCAGTCCACTCCTCTTACCCAGYGGCATTCCAGGACAAAAGCTCACGGAAAAGGGATTTTTTTTTTTAAACTAAAGCAGCCCTAATGTACATGTAAATTATTACTGCTTTCTGGGATGTCACCAGGCTCTTTCTCTGTGAAATTTTCCATTGCTTTKCTTTTCACCAGGCGGCAGCCGGTGGAAGGGTTTGAGAAAACCACAGCGAATAGTGGCAGTGAGGCAGGCTGCCGGGCATTTTTGGGGGGAAAAAATCAAAAGAGAAAACAACACGTTTCCTTTGTCAGAGAGCAARAATCCCAGCTGCCTCTTGGGTTAGTAACTTTGCTGAGAAAGGAAGGGAAAAAAACCAGAAGAAAATAAGGGCTCTGAGTAAACCACCCCACATTTCGTTTTATGGCTGCCCTCCTAAAAGCAAAATATTACTGTAGAAGAAAGGAATTTTAAACTTTTCTTGAGTYACATAGAGACCTAATTTTGAGGGCCAAAATGGACTGTTAGATCATCCTGTTCAGCCTCTGGTACAAGGCAGGCTGTGGCTTTRCCCTCCTATACTGCACGTGGCCAGACAACCTGTGCTTAGCCTAAAGCATCTCCACCAAAAAAACTCCCCAGCCTAGAGCATTTTGGGGATGGACAGCCCACCATCCCCAGCAGCACTTTTTTCTAGCAGTTAGTCATCCAGCCTGTTAATAATACTTCATTTTATATTTGTCTGGTTTAAACTGCCAGCCCTGGCTCTTGTGTCYATCATTGCTCCACCAAAGAGAGCTCCAGAATTTTGGTTCTCTCCCCTGGGAAGGTGTTTCTGCTGGTTTTTGAGTTTCCACAACAAATGATTGATTCAATTGCAGTTTTCTTATGGAAAAGCAGGCAAACAGAAGTGTTCTCTTACCATTTATTGTCACAGAATTTGTACCGATGGTCATCAGCTGGGACGATGTCAATCAGCAAAATGTACTTGGTCTTGGGGTTCATTCCGGTCACCTTGACCTTGTAACTGGGAAACATCCTCCTTGGGAAAAGCAGAGTTSTCACATTAGTGAGTGATGGGAGCACTGGAACTGATGGAAATTCGAAGCAGCACCCCAAAGAGCAGATCCACCATCAGAAAAATTCACACAAGGACAAATGAGCTACAAAATATTATTGCTGCTTTTGTCACCTGAATTAAACTCACTCTTCCCAGAGCATGTGCCAGTGCAAAAAGGGGGCACAAATATGGATGACGATATAGGGAGGAGGGCTATGGGCCAGTGCCAGGAAAAGGAGGGTGCAAAGGGATACTGGGGGGGTCAACACACCCCTGTTTGAGGGAGGCTGGGACAAGAGCCCTGCAGGAGGCTCTATCTGGCTTATGGCAGCCAAAAAATTGCTGATTTCTTGCTGCTATGGAAGTGCTTGAAAAGTCAGGACACCTGACTACATTTCAGAAGAAACTGAGCACAAGCTTTGTCACTCATAGAATCCCAATATCCACCAGGTCCCACCACTACTCTTGTGCTCCCTCCAAAAGAAAACTGAAGATCAGCAAAGCCTGGGGGAGACAAAGGGTTAAACCCTGTGGTGGTGCAGACTGGCCTTGCTGGATTTCCYAAATTCACAGCACACCCATTAAACCTTGTCGGGGCCAGAAGCACGGCAGAGCTTCCCACCAAAATGTGCCCGTCCCACTGATTTAACACCAACTGCAGCAAACAACACCAAACCAGAGCGTCACAAAAACCAGTGCATCACTAAAGAACACTCACACATGTCTTACAGACCTAAAGAGTCTTTGTGGTATAAAATAATACCTTTTTATAAAGCAGTGGCTGTGAAAACAGCAGATTCCATCACAGTCTCGTCTTGCAATCCAAGGGAGATTGCCCTAATGGATACTGACACTGCCATGGGCTTCCCAATCCCTGGAGGCCGCCTCAGCAGCCAGGATTTACAGGATTAGGCACTTCACATCCTCAGAGTAACTATTTTYTTGGCTCCATCTTCCCCACCTCCTCCTCATCCAGTAAAAACACCCAAGYCAATAGAGCAAACTGGCTCACCACAGCCTTCCAGCCACCGGCCAGGACACAAAGTTCTGCTTCCCAACGGCACATGGGGATGGAGGATGAACATTGCCACATCCCCGAGTCATTCTCATTACGTGAATTAAATGAAGATGGGCCCAAATCCTGATGTCATTTCTCCATCAGACATGGAGGTCACTTTGTCCCCCACTTTATCCCTCCTTTCCTGAGCCGGTCCAGGTCTGCAGCACCATTTTGTYGCAGCTTGGGGAGAAGGCAACAAAATGGGCCCTGTTCAAAATCGTTTCAATTGACTCTTTTAACCGCCCTGCATAAATTCCAGATGTTTACCATGTAATTAGCCCGGACTAAAAAGGGGTGGTTTACCAATGTCCCTCTTTGATTTTCATTCATAAACTCTGCACTCCTCTTAACCTTGTCCTCCTACAGGTAAGCACCTGGGTAAATACAGTAGGACATTTCAATTTGTGAATACACAGCCCAATTCACACATTGAAAAAAATTGTATAAGGAATCCAATCTGAATGCCAAGATTTTTTTCTTTAAATTAGGCCTTAAAATGGCATTTAAAAACAAAACAAAAAAAAAAGAGGAGAAATTGATTAAAAACCAGAAACAAGATGGACACAATTTGACAGTTTGTTGTACCTGCATTGGGGATTTTTATAACATCGAGCTTCTGAATTTCTTTTTTCCTCAATCATTTCATTTACYGTAGAACATCCAAGCTGCTAAAGTAGCTGAACTGATATATTGTAAATGTTAAGTGCTTTTTTAATGGCATTTAAAATTAAGCTTCAGCATATGGAGTTCATATAGCATGGACATGCCTGAGTTTATAATGTTCTTTAGTATAGCCCTCTAAAATAAATACAAAGAGCCAAAGTACTACTATAATATATACAGCTGAAATTCTTTAAGGATAACAAATGGGGACTCACATCTGATTGAAGGTGTTGCTTAACTTGCAAACCACTCACTATCTCGCAGTGGTAGCATTGTACTCAGCAGTCCACAGACCCAGCTACAACCAAGTTTGCCAACTCTCCGCATTCTTTTCCAGGAAAACACGGGTAGATTTTAGTAATTTGGCTGTGCATGGACATTTCATCATTATTATTAGCTGCTGCATTTTGGCCTTAAAGAAAAAATATGCGACTAATGTGCTGTCCAGGGACTTGTCAGTTTAATTTTCTTAATGAAAACATATTTCTCAACCCTTTGGCAGAGGCTAGTTTAGTAAATATCTCTTTGCAATATGATACAAACATGGGTTGTGCATTTCTGGTGGGAAGGCATGACAAACCCGAGAGCTGGGGCCAAGGAAATGCAGTCATAGAGATTGAATTAAAACGAAGGGGGAAAAGAAAAAAAGCAAGAGATACCTAATATCATGTCCTGGCCCTTATTAAATGTCCCATTTGAAAGAAAGGAGCAGAAAACCACAGCGAAGGCACCGGGCTGCACCAGCCCTGCCTGGGAGCGAGGCAGAACCTACAGTGGCTCTATAGAGCTCCCTGTCAGCCCTGGGAAGGGGCCAAAAACCTGCCTGCTTCCCCAAATTTACTGCAGGTCAATGGAGCTACTCACAGSCACGAGGAGCTGCAGCTCGGCAGCAGCTCTGCACAAGCAGCCCCTCTGGCAGCTCGGCGCAGGCAGCAGCTCCGGGCGGATGGGCGGCTCCGCCGAGGATGCTCCGCTCCGGCCAGCTCCTGGACAATAGGTTGCTTCATCATCCATTGCTCGGGGACCGGCAGAGGCACAAGAATCACCCAGTGCTGCAATAAAACTTGCCAACGTCTTGCCAAGCTCTGGGAAAGCTCAGCCTGGCTTTGGTGGGAGGTCTGAAGCAAGACGCGGGCAGAGCCTTGKTTTACYCACCCTCCTTCCCGCAYGGCTCCAAACYGGGGGAGAGCTTTGCTGAGCAGAAACTGGGGACAAAAACTGGRAATTTGGGGSTTYCTGGGGAGCGTRTGCAGGCARGTGGCATCTCACCCCCAGGGCATCTCCTGTGCCAAGGGCAGCTGCAGCTCTGCCTGGGCAAACAGGGCRGYTCAGCGAGTTCARTGATGGCACAAGTGCAGCACAGCAAAACCCAACTCTCAGGCGACGTTTGAGCCACCAGTACTCAAGAGACAAATTGCAGCAACTCCTGGCCTCATCATCATTTGTTCAGACCCAAAACCTGTTTGGACACAGTGTCCATGGGCTGCAGCAAACRCCCTGAACATGCCAATGACAACACCATCTTTGGGTGAGAATGCCCAGCACTGGACTAATTTCTTCCAATCTGTACCCATTATTTTGAAAGCCACACCGGGGTGTGTCCAACCCAGCAGCACACCTTAGGGGAGGCAGCAGGGCCACAGGGAACAGGAGCCACCAGCCAGCCCCAGCCCCACAGCTCCCCTGCCCACCCAGGGACCAGCCACGAGACCTCAGAGCATCTGTGTGATGCACGAGGGATGCACCACAAGCAGCCAAGCACCAGCAAAACACCAATTTTTTGCTGGTGACTCCAATTCTGGGCACATTTAAACCAATTTCTCCTTCCTCAAGCTCCAGTCAGAGCAGAAGGGACCATCCAGACTCTCCAGGAATGTCCTGAGGGTCTTGTGTGCCCCTCAAAGCTCTCTGCTGGGTGACCCGGACAAGCACGTTCCTGTCCCACTCCCCACACAGGGATAAAGTGCTGTTGTGCCATGGCAGCACTGCCCATCACAGGGCAAAACTTAAATCAGATTTTATGTTCACAAGAGAAAAGCAGCCTCTAAGGAAACGATCATGGGGAAAGGCTATGGTGCCTCCTGGGTGAACAGGACACCTCATATGGCACTAAAATGCCACAGTCTGGCACCCAGGCACTGGGTGATGCCCTGGGGAGGCAGAGGGGCTGAGCCTGGCTCTGGGGATTGTGGGCAGTGGGAGCAGGGCTGGCATCACCAGAGCTTGGCACCACACTGTCACAGCYCCGGCTAAACCCTTCCCTGCAGATGAAATGTAGCAAAACCAGTAAAAGCCAGGAAAATAAACAAGCAGCACAATTCCACAGGCCTCCCAAGCTTCAAAGATGATGTGCTAGTGAACTATTTGTTCTGATAATGAAGCAGTCACTGCTTAGCTAAGTTTATGCTAGGCACATTTTATCTCTACATGATATTCACAAATTGTTTTAAAATGAACTGTTAGAATAAGCATCTCTTGTTTATTTATTTATACTATTACTATCCAATCCCCTTAACCGTGGAGCAGCTGCTGACATGGAGCCAAAGCTTCTATTATGTTCAAACAAAGTTTAATTGATGTGTAATTGGCTGGTTGGGTTTGGAAGTGAGTGATAAGAGGAAAGCTTTGCTTTCCTTTGGGGCAGCAGTTCCCAGCCTTTCAGGCTCTCCAGGCTTGGCAGCTTCCTGGGCATCTCATGTGTGTTTTAATCCCCAAATGAGCAGGTCTGGTGGATCCTGAAGAGATGGGTGGCTGCAAGGCTCCCATGTCCAATAAAACCTTATTTTTTGGGCAGGGGACTGCAAGCCAGGAAAGTGGAGAGAATCAGAGCTGACTGAAGAGCTCAAATAMTCATCTGAGCAGTGGCTGTGCTGTGCCATGCTCCACATCAGGGACAGGCACCTCACCACTCTCCTGCTCACCAGGATTTAATCTGACCTTCTCCACTCAGATGCCAACATTCCCGATGTCCCTATGGATGCGTTAGCTGGGAAGGGATGTCCCTGACAGGGTAAGCAGGGAAGATTTGGGGAATTCAACYGGWATTCCYATAARGAAAAYTGCATAGAGAAAAGGCACSKGGKCAACTCAAGCCATGTCCTCAYCAAAAGCTRTCCTGAAGTCCATGGATTTATGTGGACTGGTGCCCATTGAATGTCCCTGATGTCAGGATGATCCTTCAGACACTATTGAATGCTTCYTTCTGTCCCTTCAAGAGGGTTAAAAGATCCCCAAGCACTTCAGCAGCTGAAATTGTATT